AAATGCTGGCTCAGCATGACAAGTTTCTGAGCTCCTAGGTGTTGCCTATTCTGCATGACAAACTGCGCTTCTGCATCACAAAAAAACGGAGCTCCAGCTCTTGGGTGACGTGCATGACAGATTTAAGAGTCACGCCAGACAACCATGACAAACATGACTTCTTCCAGACCCAGACACTTTTGCACTTGATAGCATGGGCGCAAAAGCAAATAAAAAAAAAAATATTTTTGATACTTAAATAAAAAAAAAATTCGTCACCTTCATCAGGTGCAACAGTTCTCCGTTTCGCCTTCGCCGGGAACAAAAAGGAGGTCGCCGCTGGTTGGCGGCGTTTTCGCAACGACCTTGGACACGCGTTGCATGATGTCGTCACGGTAGTATCACCCGGGAAAACTACACAGTGGTAGGAATTGTCTCGAAATGCTTGTTCTCTTATGCTATGTATCTATGTAGGCCCTCCTCGTCTTCTTCCCGGGCGTCGTCGTCGACGTGTGTCTAGAACTTACTACAGGAACTTCTTCTATTCAGGAGGTGTAGAAATTGATTCTCCTGCGAGCTGGACATCAAACGCGGTAAGTTCTTTATTGTAGTCCTTGTACGTTTATATTTGCCGAGAAATGCCGCGAGTACCATGCAAAAGTTGCAAAGGAGAAGAACTACATGCACAGGAACTACGTACAACTCCACTGTTTCAGTTTCCGGATCATATGATCCGTGACGCATCCTGACTTTTGAGAGCCCTATCCGACGTAGGTGTTGTCGTGGTTATCGTCGTGGTGCTCGTCGTTGTATATCATCCGGAAAAACGCCTGGAGTAATTACCCACGATCCCAGAGCTAGTACAAGAAATAAATGCGACTTGTTTTGTATAGGGAAGTTGTCCTGCTCTCGTCCCGAAGAGTCTCGCAGAAACAGACTGCCTGGCTACGTCTCAAACTCATCCGTTACAATCGTGTAGAAGTGCGTTGCTAATTTTAAGTAAGCCATAGTGGCAAGAACCGCATCTTCACACAAAATCCACTCATGCTCATCCTGATATAATGGGGCAACATGGCAACTCATCGCAGCTTCCAAAATGACGACAAGACAACGGCATGCCTCGCCTCGAGAGAAAGAAGAACCACTATGAGACTACTAAACCTTGCCGCATGGTGCGCATGGAAGCAAAATGCGCATGACAAGTACCCGCCGCCCGGGGTCATGAGTAAATACTTACGTCTATTTCCCACTTCGGATATCGTGGTAGTTGTGGTTACCACCCAAACGCACTCGGGCTCGTGGAGTGCCGGATCGGAAATCCGGTCCGCAAACGGAAACTCTTCAGCAGTTTCGCACAAATCGTACGGCTTGGCTTCTTATCAACTGTAAAAATGTCTGGGTCTGGAAGCCTGTGATGCTGGGTGGCGTCTCATGATGAGGCTACAAATGCTGGCTCAGCATG